GTTCTGGAGCGTGCGCAGTGTTGGACTGGCAAAAGCCTAAAGGTGTCGGCGCGCTACTACCAGATTTTTGGAGAGCCTGACTACAACGGTTGAACGATAAGACTCGCTGTGAGTCATTTTTCGACATCATGGCGCGCTTAACCTTTCCATAGCGACCGAATACGCGGGCAAGAGCATAGTAGACACGGGCTGCAGCCCTGGTAAAGGCTAATTCGTACGAGCCAGCTGTGTACCCTTTTGAGGTTGTGGACGACGATCCTGAACATTTGGACGTGCGACTCGCGAGAGCCAGATCATGTCTCGCTCAAGTGGAGTACCCGTATTCTGAACAACCACTTTTTCTTGACCAACTTGGTATGCACTTCCTACTTGCGCTGTCGCTTACTCTAGTTCACATGTGTTAGCAACCATTGGCGGATGATGCGCGTAATCACCAGGAAAATTTTGACTACGTCGTCCCCGTAGAATCGATGAAGATCTCGGCCAAAAGTCCATCCTCTCCGCTGCCTCTCTGAGTGTATTCTCAGGCGGCAATTGTGGTTAGTCGTCAACCGCCTACGTTATTTTGCCGTGCCAACCTTTGAAGTTTAGTCGCTGTTCCGCTCCCATCCGCGGGCGTCGATATATGGGTCCGGCTCCAATCCTGTTCTCTCTTTCCCCAATTTCCCGCGTTCACAGACGGAAGCACAGGCTTCTGTGCACTCCCCGCTGCCCATGTCTAATACGACTCCGATTAGGGTTGTTGAGAGGCGCGTGTAGGCACTGGTTGTACGTAGTACAAGTCAAATAGACCGATATTCTTATTCTTTACTTGTGTGCTCTCTGTCAGTGTCAGCAATGCGAATAGGAATAACCGATAAATTCCTGTGCCGCGCGCAGGAGACAGGGGGTATTCTTAAAAGGGTCGATTATGTAATAATGAGTAGCGCTGTACAGGCCGGGGTCTAACCAACAGACTAGAAGCGCCCGGCATCCTGAAAAATGCGGTTCGTAAGCGAGGACACCACAGTGAATCGGAAGCCCAAAGTACGATAGACTCACACGAGGCAGATTCTCAGTCGCATCCCACAGCTGTCAGCTTGGAACCAAAAGTACTCGTAGTAGCCGACACGAACCTATGAGTGGAACGGAACAATCAATCATGTTATGATAAAAATATTGCATGACGACCTACGGAATTCCCAAGGTCGCGTAGAACGCGGAATGTGTTAGGATCCATGATGGTGGTAGTAATTCAACGCGTTTGTTTGCGGTTGTTGTGACACGGCTCACGACTTGCACGACTTTCATTAACGTTCATTCCTTGGCCATGAGGCTCCTTGATCGTGTTCCATCTTTCTATAGCACAAATCAATGCAGGAAACATCAATCCAAAAGATGACAGACGCGGCTATGCTTGGGCTATGCGGCAATTAAACAGTGATGGTGTGTTCCAGTCAGTCCAACTTAGACTGATACCATCGCATGAGAGTCTGGGACCTTTACCAAATTTCTCTTTCAAGAAATCATGAAGGCGTTTAGCCGCGCTCGTACAGGTCGACCGCGACGAAATCTCAAAATGTCTTTTCTCCAGTCTTTATCCTAGTCCATCCGAATTCACGCTACTTAGAATAGTCGTTCATGCCTGCTCATCAAGACCCCGCAATCATTCTTCGATGGTGGACCGCAGTCCTTCTGGACAAGCGGCAATCCGAAATCCCATGTCCACCCAAGGTCCGCCGACGGACCGCCTCGGTCGTTCTCGGCTCCCAACCCCAGATCGCTGTTCGTCGCCTCATATACCTCCAGCCTCGGCCCACACGACACCATACACCTACCGCAAGCTACACACCCATCTAAAGCGAACATGACGCCACCAACATGGGACCTGGACAGCGCATCCGAAATCCCACAGGAATACCACGACTGCATGCCCTGCTTCGTCCCCGAAGTCGACGTGGACGATCCACAGGCCGTGCTGCGGTACGCACAGACGCTTCTCACGCTGCGCGCGGCGGCGCAGGCGAGCCCTCTACATCGCGGATGGTCGTTCACCGCTACTATACCCCCATTCTCCCCGACCCACGCATCTACACGCCGCCCATATCCCAACTTTGCTTTGCACGGTGGCTCATTCCGATTCATACTGGACAGCGGCTTACAACCGATGGATCTATCCTCCGACGACGCGTGGCAGTGGTCGCAGGTCTGGGTCGCGCGTGTCGAAGGGACCGAGGAGACAGTAGTTCTAAAGATTCTGCAGTCCTCCATTCTCCCCCTACCTGATCTGGAGGAGGAGCATTCCTTCAAGTATTCGGCGTTTGGGAGGCAGGTCGCGAGTACGGAGAATTTGATATATACGCAGCGATTGGCGGAGGTGCAGGGTGCGGTGGTGCCGTACTATTTGGGGAAAGTCAAGGTGCGCTGTTTGGAAACTTACTATGAAGTTGAAAGAGACTAATTCGGGACTGCTAGGTTACAATGCCGAATGGGGAAGAGGCGCGCGTCCTGATTTTGGAGCATATCAAAGGGAAGACGCTTGCTCAGTGTAGCCATGAATATGAAGCGGCAGACACCGCTGGGAAGCGAGCATCTCTTGAGGATCTGCGGGATATGGTACGCCCTCTTCCGAGTTGTGGTCTCTTCTGAGCTCAAGTTTCTTTCTCTTTAGTTGACCCCAATCGAAGACAGCTATAAAGCCATCAACGCCTGTGGCGTATATCACCTCGACGTCTCACCAAAGAATGTTATCATCCCAGACTCGGATTGCAGCGCGGTGGTCATCGACTTTGGACATAGCGGCGTCGCGACGAAGGAGAACATCAATCGACAAGCTAAGGTGTCGAAGGAAAGCGAGGGGCAGGCAGTGATCCATGCGGTGCTCAACTGGTTCAAGGAGAACTCGGGAGAGTTTAAAGAGGAGTTCCTGCTGTGGACGAAGGAAGAGAATGTTGCTAGTCATCTGCAGTGGAATACGGACGAATTGAAGTAATCCGGCATGAAAAGTTGAAGTGCATGTAATTAGACTACTACGCGTCTCACTGACCGGTACGCAAACTGAATACCAAACTGTCAATTCTGGTGCGCCTCAGTCTATCGCAGTCAGCAGTTTCTGTCCCCTGCAAGCCTGAACTGTAGGGTGCGTTGAAGATCACGTTCGAGCCAACGATCTGGAGGAGGAGGGCTTGGCATTATGTGAATGTCTGAATTCATTGTTTAGTATCAGTTGCACTCACTCTAGAGAGGTACTGTAGAGATTCGTTCAATTCGTCAGTCACGGGTCACAGGTGACCCGAAATACTCCCGAAATTGACGAATTGTCACACTGGTCACAGGTCCCAGCGCGATCTGACGAATTCGGGAAGCGAAAATGACCAAAAAATCAGCCAAATTGCTCCGAAAATCAATGAAATTGATGAAAATTTTTCCCGGTCACGGCACCTTCGGCGCCGCGACGAATTCAAAATTTCGTCACCCCGGTCACAGGTCACCCGGGGTGACGAATCAGTGTTGTCATTACACCCTTAATAAGGGGGTCAAATTTTCATTACAGTGTAAATTGTAATTACACTTAATTACACCACACTTAATTACACCTGTAATAGTCATGTGATCCTATCTGTGGCGCCTATTTATGGTTGGTCTGCAGGAAAACTTGAACAGATATCATGGCCTGTCTCCTCTAACAGTACAGTAAAGGCTTAGAAATGGTCAGAGAAGGTGTCTGGGAGTGGTTAGCAGATGTGTACACCTCTTCTCCCTTCCCAGGCTTAACCATGAGTCACATGACTACCTAAGGCTACATGTAATTACGGTGTAACTGGAATTTTCACTTTCATTACAGTGTAATGTAATCGTTAATTACAGTGTAATCTGTAATACATGTAATGATGTAATGACAACACTGTGACGAATTGAACGAATCTGTACAGTAACAGAGAGCGACTAGGGTGGTGAAGTAAACCCTAGGTTTTGATACCGGTAGGGTTTACTGCGGTAAGTTACCAGTATTGATACCGGTAACTTACCTCACGGTCGAGGAGGTAGGTAACTTACCAAACATGTGACTTATCACATGATCAATGACGGTAGAGGGAGGAGGTTGCAAGTGGAGATGGGAGGGTACTGTAGGTTACAAATAGTGGGTAAGGCACTGCACAGTAGACACAGTTAAAATATGTGCCATTTGGAACCAAAATTTACCCTGAGGAGCGAAAAATCAGGCCCCAGAAGGCCCGCGAGAAATTGTGCCACGCTTCTCACGTGAAACGTCACGTGTTGGGTAACTAACGGTATCGTAACCGCCTCCCAGAGGGCCCGGTATCTTACTGGTAAGTAACCGAGGCATAGGTTTACTTCCCCACCCTAAGAGCGACCGACACCGTGAATTAGGGTAGTGGAAACAACCTAGGTTACAGTACCAAGAGGTTGTTTCCCGGTAAATTACCGGTTATTTACCGGTTTGTAACCTAAGGCTGTTGGAGGTAGGTTATTTACCTGCACGTGACATATCCACGTGATGTGTGGCACTACTGTACTATTCTGACCGTTAATTCGCATAACGCGTCACGGAGGGGTCAATTTGCTTATCGGACCCCGCCAAACGCCTCCGATTGCTTATCGGGGTTCAGGATGTTGAAAAATTTAAAAAATTGCGAACTTACGGTCGGAATAGTACAGTAGTATGCACTATATTCAGAGGCAGGAAAATTTACTATTGCCATTGAAATGTATCTGACTCTGATGAGACCATGGCAGTGTGACATCCGGAGGGGAAAGACTGAAAACACTTGACGGTTGCTGCCTTGGTTGCTGCATGGCACTTGCTCCCGCGGAGACGTCACGTGAAAGTGTCACGTGCAGGTAAATAACCGTTTTTAACCGGTAAATAACCTGGACCTCCGGGAGGGTAGGTAAATAACGGTTATTTACCACCCCCGAGGTTATTTCCACGACCCTACCGTGAATACACGTAAAAACATGTACCGCCAGTGGCCAAAAAAACAGACAACGGGAACGATTGCATTAAGGGGGAATCGAACCCCCGGCGGGTCGACAGGACGAGCTACCATTCATGGCAACGACCCAGGTTACCACTACCCCATTAATGCATGCATCCTGAACCTTTACGCTGTCTGCTCTCTTGTAAAGATACATTGCATTGTTGTTCCTTCTGAGATGAGGAACGGCTGCCACACTTCAGCTAACTGATTCAGAGACAGCGAGCCTGGACTGAGCCTGGACAAGATCTTGCAATTCGTCGCGCCATCAAGACGTCAAATAAATCGCCAACCCGATCGATGTCGTCATTCAGGCATTTTGGGTCCGTCCATCATGAACGGCGACGAGCCCATTCTCTCCCACCTTCCAGAGGACATGGACTTTGACGACGACGATCTCATAAAATTCGACTACGTCCGACACGTGCGCCTATACACCCTCTCCGTCCTGCTCACCACCGTCGCCGCGTTCGCTCTCAGCACTATACCCCTCTGGCTTCTCGCCACTCCTACATCAGGAGGAGTCATACGGGCGGACGACGTGCTCACGCCTCTCGCGCTGTGGGCGCTCTCCTACACCCTGCAGAAGCACGTCGACGACTGGTCCCCATGGTGGCGAGTCACCGCCCTGCTGCGCGCCGCGCTCCACACGCTGCTGCTTCTCAGTGCGCCCTATCTCCTGCGCCTAGCGCACCACGCGGACTTTCCGATGCCGTCGAAGAGGGATGAAGCGGTGTTTGTCAGGACGTGGGTCGTCGGCACGACATGGGCGCTCGTCGAAGCCTTTGTGAGCATCCGCGGGGCGTACCGGTCTATGCGGCTATACGAGCCCCAGCCGCCTCACCTTCTGGACGACGAAGACGCAGATGACTTGGATGAGGAAGCGTCGGTTATAAGCACGAACCTGTCCCTCTTAAACACCCTCCACAAACGCGAGGAGATGGAAGCCGCGCTGGCTGGGGTCGCGTTTATCGATATCCCGCTGTTCATCCTCGCGCTGCAGAGAGTAACGATGGTGCTGTTGTCGTTGGGAACTACGCTTCTCCTGAGCGCGACGTGGTACCCGCGTATGACCTTTGGCTACAGCTTGGGCGTGACGCTAGGGTGCTTTGCTGTTCAGGCATTGATAGGGAACTTGAGGGCCCCGCAGGTTAGGGTGTATGTGGGGTTGGTGTTGGGATTGGGTGTGTTTTTTGCGGGGCTTGGGGTGTGGGGTGTTTTGGAATAACGAGGTATGAAGACCGGTTTGACGAGCTTATGATGTTTGATCTGCAATTGTATTTGTATCTAATCAGGTTATGTTGTCACCGGGTTTTTGGTCGCATTTATCTTTCTACCGAGCGGGTCTGCTACCGACATATGTTCTAATGCGTATCTTGTTCTCAAAATCTATCACCTCTTAGCACTGGCAGCCGGTTCGAGTACCACGCTTACGACGAACAAGCCGATTTGAATATGCTACTTTGACCACGTCTACTCTCGCTCCGAAAGGCGAATTAACTCGGTTATACAATCGCTTGGCCCCAAACTTACTTACCGTAAGCCTGTCTCCATCGAGTTCGCTATCCTCGGGCTGTCCTCTGCGTATCTTGACCTCGGTGTGTACGGTTGTATCATCGCGGAGCGAGATACCAACTCTCTTTCTAAACATAGAAACGTCTACTCGCCATTAGAGGAGCATGTTCCTTGAGACGCCGGGGGCGGGGTGGTAGTGTCGGGGATCAACTACGCACCCATTGTGTTACATATATCTGCGTCGTAAGTTCATGGCTCGGTCTCCGACGATGGACGACAAAACCTGACAGGTGACTTGACTAGTCCATCGTCGAGAGTAGAGACGAGCTCCTCCTACACACTACACGAAACATACCGCCTGTTCAAGTTGCCGGGGAACAATGGCAAATCAGCGCACCCTGAGATCTCCGCCCGTGGCCACATACATTCATGAAGTTACTCTGGGCTAAACGCCGCGGGACCTGGGCAGTGTGTAAGTTGTTTGAGCAGAGAAGGAGGGGTGTCAAGGTTAGTATTGTGAGAAGGAGGGTGGAAGGATGTGATGTCTTCTATGTTGGGCGTCTTTCTGGTATAACCTAACGTACGTCACACTTAGTAACTCGCTATTAAAGTTACGACACAATAATGCCAAGGTGTTTATAGATAACGAACGAGTGTTGGGTGAGCAGTCTGGATAGCATCTGTATAAGACGCCACAGTGCATCAATGGGGTAGCGGTAGTTGCCATCGTTGCTGTTGGCATGCAGTCTCCTCTCCTCGACCCGCCGGGGGTTCGATTCCCCCTTAATGCATGTAGGTCCTGTGTCATAGTAGAGGTCTTTTTATTTTACTTCTTGCTCTAGCATCTCCAATGCGAGTATAGCGCCACCACGGCAGTCGGTCCGAGTGCCGCGCCTTGGCCAAGGACTACGACGAGCAGAATATGCTATTCTTACCACTTCTTCGTTGATGCCCTCCCGCGCCGAAAGATGAATCGACTGGGTTATACAATCGCTTCGCCTAATACTTATTTACCGTAAGCCTATTTCCATCGAGTTCGTTCTCCTGCGGCAGTCGAGTCCTCTGCGTTTCTTGACCTCGGTGTGTACGGTTGTATCATCGCGGAGCGAGATACCCACTCTCTTTCTAAACATAGAAGCTTTGGATACACATCTACTTGTAGGAACATCACCAGCTTTAGAAGCCGGGGGCGTGGTGGTGGTGGCACCGACGGGAATCAACTACGCTGTTCCATATATAAACGCGTCGCCCTCATGACAATTGGTGCGCTATTCCTCTTTCTTTGCCATTCAAAATTCTCTATATCTGTGTTTTTCTCAGGTTCCATGCCTTCTCCCTAGATGAGCTCCCGCCGTCTACGAATACGAAACCTGATACCGCGGACGAGTATGAACAAGCTTCGCGGATCCTTCAAGTTGCCGGAGAACAATGGCATTCCGGCTTCCTAGTGAGTCCGTGGCGATACACTCAATTCACTTGCATGTCCACCCAAATCAATTATCAGCGAACCCTGAGATCTCCGTCCGTGGCTACGTTCATGTTTACTCTGGGCTAAACGCCGCGGGACCCTGGGCAGTGCGGTTCCTGTTCCCAAAGAGGCTTAGAGCGATGTGAGGGGGATATATAGATCAGAGAGGATGGCAATGGCTGCAGTTGTCATTTGATCCCGTAGGTGCACGTCACCGCCGCTTTAGCTCAAGTAAGGATGTCTACTAGTCGAAGCCATCCCCCCTCGCCCATATCCCCTGCCCGATTCAACCTCTTAAAAGTCTGTCTTCTTCGCTTCCTTCCTTCCATTGCCGTTCTCACGCTTTGTAGACGCAGGCTCTGAACGGCGATCCCAACGCAACATCCACGCTCCATCTCGTGTTCTCGTACAACCACTTTCTCGGACTGGACGACGTTCTGCCGGTTATATACGCGCATCTCTCTCCACGGCATCTCGCGCAGGTAAATGATGGCGGAGGAGATATGGATGGGGGAGTGGCGATGAACGCGCGATACGCGCTGAAGATGCTTGCACACGGATTGGATAAATCCCAACAACAACAACCAGTGTTTCCAAATGGCACCCTGGAAGCGCTCTGTCCTACGATAACAAGCTGGATCGCGCTCTTCACCCACACCCCCACAAACGACCTCCTCCTCCGCGAAGTCGGGCACATCATCCCCTCCCTCCTCCGGGACCCCCTCCTGCGGAACGCCTTCCGCAAAGAAGACGCCCTCCTCCCGCTCACCATGCACACATTCCTCCGCCTCCCAGCCTCATCCGCCGCGCGCCAGTCCTTCCAAACCGCCGTCCTCACCGCGCTCATCGCCGAAGCCAAGCTCGTCCCCGGCCACCCCGACCTCGCACACTCCATGCGCGCGCTCCTCTCCTCGCAGCCGTCCGACGTCGCGCGCGCTCTGGTCCGCGCGTTGTCCGCAGACTCCTCTGCGCTCGGGGCGGAGAAGACGCTGTCGTTATCGGCTTTGAGACTGTCGCTGAGCACGATATTCTACTGCCGCAGCTGCATACCCGCCGTCCGCCGCGCGCTGGCTCTCGAAGGCGTCCTGGACGTCCTATGCCTCGCTGCGCGGCATGCAGCCAAGGGGTTATACCACCGCTCACAAAGGGTGGGCTCGTGCATGTGTCTCCTAATACAGGAACTTTCAGTCTTTTCGCGCATGGCGCCGCGCTATGTAGTCCGTGCGCTCGAGAGCCGGTTAGTGGATACGCTGCTCCGCGTGGATAGCGTGGTGGGGAGCGACGAGGCGCTGTTTGATGAGCGGGAGGACCGGTATCATTTGAGCAGGATGATTGCGGGGTGTCTAGGCCACTTGGAGGGGTTCTTGATTTATAGAAGTGTGTTGAGGGCGTGTAGGAGGGCTGTAAGGCGTGCCATGGTGGTGGAGGGTGCTGAGGGCGACTCGGAGGTCAAGAGGCAGTACGAGCAGTTGAAGGCCGCGGTGGAGACGCAAGTGAAGGAGAACGAGGCTCGTGATAGGGTCAGCAAATGCGTCTGTGTTAATCCTGAGGTGAGGTTTCATTCGTTTGGGCGGCTTTAGTTTACTTATGACGAACAGTGCCCGTCGACGGAAGCTTCGACATCTGCGAAACCGAGGCGATGTAGCGGGTGTCTGTTTACCGTGTACTGCTCGCGGCCGTGTCAAAAGACACATTGGGGCAATGGACATAGGGCGCAATGTCACGTCTTGGATCGGGCGCGGATGTGTACGTTGTTCCTTCCCTCTTCCAAGCGTCGATCTGGGGATTGAGTCAACCACCACCTAGCACCACCGCACGCTCTACACCTCCCGCCCTCCCCGCTGGACATGGCGCTGATCTACGCCATGGTCGAAGACGATCTCCGAGAACACACCAAAGTCGTCGACAACTTGCAAACAATCACGTACGTTGCCTCGTCCTTCTTATATCGCTCCCCAAGTTGATCAGAGACGACAGCACGGGCCCACTTGTCATCGAACTGGACTACGCCTCCGAATGGGGCGACGTCTCCAGCCGGCCGCGCATATCCGTCCGACCCCTCGACGCATTCCGCGCGGCGATGGAGGAGTCGTCCGTCATAGAATACACCGACGAGATGTGGGATCGCCTCCTAGAGACTCAGAGAGATAGAGATGGAGATGGAGGCGGAACGTACATCGCCATCTTGATATCGTCCATGTGGCTTGTGGATCTGACGACTGAGGAGAGGATACGAAGCCGGTTGTATCCGGTTCACGGTTAGAGGACTTGTGTTTGAGGTGCTAGTAGAATTGAACAACTTTTTGGGCAGCTAATGTCATAGCAGGAGGAAAGGAGAGAACGTGGTCTGCAAGCTGAAGAACCTGTCCGACGGGGGTAGCCCACCTAAGGAAACAACCGCGTGTATGATTGGACTCGTAGAGTTAGTGGTACACATACAAGTAGTGAGGGTGGGCGACGACAAATGATACTAGCGCCGGGACACAGAAAGAAAATAAGGACATATCTGGAGTATGAGGAGGTGCTGGTGGATATTCCTACTTGCTCGGTGTGATTAGTGAGCAATCTGGATAGCATACACGGAAGCGGTGGTATGCATTAATGGGGTAGTGGTAACCTGGGTCGTTGCCATAGGAAGTAAAAAGTATTGTTGCTGATTCCGGGTGGGCAGGTGGTAAGAGCAGCATATGCAAAATTGTTGAGGTCCTTGTGGAGGGAAAGAAAAAGGCCATGCTGACATGTTAGATTGCATTAAGGGGGAATCGAACCCCCGGCGGGTCGACAGAGACCACGGCAACCATATGGCAACGACCCAGGTTACCACTACCCCATTAATGCGCAGCGTGGTTCATAGCGAGGAAGTTCTGTGCAAAAACATCACCATCACAGCGAAAGAAGCATAAGAATAACATGTAAAGATTAGGAATAACCCAGAAAAACACCTAGAACATCCTTCCACCCCCTCCTCACAACAACCTTGACACCCCTCCCTCTCTTCCCTCTACTCCTCTCACTCGCACTCTCGTCGACAGGAACCAACAGCTCCTCGACCCTCCCCGCTCCCCCATACTCCTTCCCCAACCATTCCACATACCTCGCATCCATCGCACTCAACGGGCCAAGCTCCATCGCGGCGAGATCCTTCGCGGTGAGGACGACGTCCTCCGTAATCGGCGGGGGCGGCATGAGCGTCTCCAGCGTCGCCAAATGAAACCTAAACAGCGCCTCCAACGCCGCGAGCAGCTGCGCCCCGTCGTTTATGCCGCCCAGACTCATCGGCATCGTGCCGAGGAGCGGCGCGCGCGAGCTCGTCGTTGAGCTGGTAGACGGCCGGCCTTCGATGCCGGCGCCGACTTGCCGCACGAGCGGGACGTCTTCGGCGCCCTCGAGGCGCACTCCGCCGCCCCAGAGTGAGGCGCAGAGCATGCATACGTCTTCGTATAGCCGCCAGACGTCCCATGGGCCTTTGTCCCGGTCCTCCTGCACTGCTAAAGAGTTGAACACGCGCACATCGCTCCATGCCCATCGCGCGCCTGAGAGTTTCCACTTTCCTGCCCGTCTTTCCTCCCCTTCTTCTTCTTCCTCCTCCACTCCGCCCTCCCCTCCCGCACTACGGATGAGTGAGGGCGTGTACATGCGCTGCTCAGAGACGTCAAAGAGTATATCGTAGCATTGCGGCTTTTCGAGGAATATAGCGTCCGTGGTGCATGCGATCCACGATGCCGAGGAGGGCGAGACGAGCCGAGAAAAGTCCATTAGGCCGACGCATCCGAGGACGTGCGCTGGGGCGGGGGATGCTGCGCCGAGGAGGTGACATAGTGTGCATGCGGCATGGATAGGTGTGGCAGTCGGTGGGGAAGAAGAAGAGGAAGAGGGTGTTGAAGTGGCCTTGGACATGGATGAATACACCAAGACCCTCCGTCCGCCCACCACATGTTTCGCTAGCGTGACAAACGCCGGGCCGACTGTGCGCAGGACGTGTGGGAGATGCTGCGCTGGGTGCTCTGCTTCTTCCTCTTCCACCGTTCCGCCCTGCTCGTCAAACCACCGCTGCGCCAAAGCCCACTCCGCCTCGCCCAGCTGCTTGTCGCCGCCCTCTTCTCCCAGCATCTCCATATACAGCTTCTCCAACTTTTTCCATCCGTGTGTCGGCCGCCGTGTGATGATACCTAGAGCACCCAGTCGCGAGCCGCGGTGTCCCGGTGCGTTCGTCGCTCGTCGGCGGAATACAGCCAATCCACTGTGCGCGGCCGGTAACGTGAAATATCTATACCATGCGTGTTAGTTGGCCTACGAGAAGGAGGAATGCAGCCGCACATAACATCCTCGTCGCGCTGATGTAGTCCACTAGGTAGCGCGCTGAATTCTACATTCTCCAGTGACACGGCCTCTGCAAGCCGCGGTATTAGCAGTAGCAAAAGTAGGTCCGCAGTGGGACGCACCATCCGCTACAGCACTCCAGTCGAGAATGTTGCCCTTGGTGGGATGGAACGAGACGTGGAATATCGCAACTGCAACCCTAATTAGCCTTGGCCCGCGAAAGATGGATATAAGACGCACGTATGTCCCGCCACGACATGTTATTTCCGTCCTCGGTGTGCTTCCGTCAACTCGCTGGCCCTATGGTACGTCTTCTATCGCACCGTCCGCACTATCTGCGTCCTAGTACCCGATCCGATCGCAGAGCCTAGTCGTCCTAGCGTCTAGTCCCTGCCAAACGTAGTGTAAAGGTATCGCGTCGCTCGTCGTGGTCCGTTGACAACAGAGCCCAACCAGCACAGCAACCGATCGGCGCTTCGGGCCGCACTCCGTTCCTCTTCCACACATCCGCTCTCCCTGTTTCTTCTTCACCTCCTGCCACTGGGTGAACTCTCTTATTCCAGGACCAAAATATCTGTACCTCTTACAGCACACGCGCATTAATGGGGTAGTGGTAACCTGGGTCGTTGCCATATAAAAGAATGCGTGCTCTTCGACCCGCCGGGGGTTCGATTCCCCCTTAATGCATACAATAGGACGACGGCATCTCTTTTTGTGGTTTTCGGTAGGGTGGTGCAGTAAACCTCCGGGGGGTGTTAGTAACGGTATTGATACTGACTAGGGTCGTGGAAATAACCTCGGGGGGTGGTAAATAACCGTTATTTACCTACCCTCCCAGAGGTCCAGGTTATTTACCGGTTAAAAACGGTTATTTACCTGCACGTGATATTTTCACGTGATGTCTCCGCAGGACAGCAGCCGTCAACTGTTTTCAGTCTTTCCCCTCCAGATGTCACACTTTCCTTGGTCCCATCAGGGTCAGATAGATTTTAGTGGCAATAGTAACTTTGCTTGCCTCTGAATATAGTGCATACTACCTTTTTCCGTGCGCCACACATCACGTGGATACTGTACCGTTCCGACCGGATATTCGCATAACGCGTCACGCGGCTGTGCGAACCTAACTTACGGCTTAGGATAACGCATAACGGGGCTAGATTTCAGGGTCAAATCGCTCAAAACGGCAATTTTTCGGGCCCGCCTGCAGCGGGACTGCCAAATCGGGCCATGTGCCTGAAAACGAACTTGTTCCGTGTAAGTTCGCGGCATAACGCGTCACACGCCGCGAACCTACGGTCGGAATGGTACAGTATGTCATGTGCAGGTAAATAACCTACCTCCAACAGACTTAGGTTACAAACCGGTAAATAACCGGTAATTTACTGGGAAACAACCTCTTGGTACTCTAACCTAGGTTGTTTCCACTACCCTAATACTGACCCCCCCAAGGAGGCCCTGGTTTTGAAACCGTTAGTAACGGTTTCGATACCGGCACGTGCTTCTACCACGTGATGTGGCGCACCGCTCCGCCGCCTCATCCCGCCTTTGTCCCGCCACTCTCAGCTCAGCGCGCCGTCACGTGAAATGATCACGTGTCGGTATCAAAACCTACCCATTCCTCGGCCAAGGTTTCAATACCGTATCAATACCGTTAGTAACCGCAGTAAACCCGAGGTGTATCAAAACCTAGGGTTTACTGCACCACCCTAGTTTTCGGGAATCGGGGTGGTCCAAACCCGTTTCTCTGATTTCACCGGGACAGTGTCTTCTCCACCATTTTTTATTGCTGATTACCAATTCCGGGCGCAAAGCCACAGACTAACCTTTGATTGAAGGCTCCATAGCCTACGTAGACTGATCATGCCAGTCAAGCGTTGACCACCGCACTGATTGGCATTCTTGAAGAATAAAACTGCGGACAACCACACTTTGTTCGTAGAAATCCACAACATCAGTAAAACACCGGGGTGATCTCCGGAGCCTGGATCTCTGCTCAGGGCATCTCTGATGTCTATGTCCCTGCGTTCGGGTCTCTCAGCCCTCTCTGCCCTCGCGTCACCGTCTTTTGTGTCTCTACCACGCTCTTGAATCTCTGGCATTTTAACAATATTTTATTACTGATAATACTCGTAGTACTAGTACTAGCATTTATGACTGGCACTCCAAAAAAATTTTGACCTGGTGCATATAACTATATGCAGATGCATAATCGATGCGAAGTAGAGACGGCGGGCACTATATACTAATCTGCTCAGTGCAAGAGGTCGAAAGACTCGAAACGACCAAGTTCAAGTTGCGAGCAAGGTGCGTGGCAGCACATGTTCCAGGTACGCTGGTTTTAAACTCCGTCGCGAGGGTCTTTCCGACTTCCTAAGTTCCTTCCTTCCTGTCTGCCTCACACGGTCAACAGCCACCAGTAGGAGCCTAAGCAGGTGTCGCAACGCCCGCCGCTGATGACGACCATGACGGCCAATGACCCCCTGCCAGCGACCACCACAAGGACCGGCACCATGACCGCGGATGAAGATACAACGACTGTGGGCGAGGAACATGGCATACATCACGACCACAAGCAAGGAACAGGGCTACCCCAAGCGAGGAACATGACCCTCGACATCCGCCAGCGACGACCACAACAACTACGAGGGACGACTATATCAACCACGAGCCACCACCGCAACGACCACAAGCCACCACTGCGACAATTACGAGCGATACCGAGACGAGACGGAATAGGACCCCAGCGAGGACGAGGACCAGACCGTAGCAGGACGGACCCGACCGTAGCAGGACGGACCCGACCGTAGCAGGACGAGGACCCGACCGTAACAAGGACGAGGAACCGTAACAAGGACGAAGACCAATGGACCACGACCACGACACGAGCGCAGCGAGGACCATGACGAGGACACGAGCCCAGCGAGGACTACGAGGAGGACATGAGCACAGCGCGGACATGGACAATGACACATGGAGTGACGACCGTCAAAACAATCGTAACGACTGCCAGCAGCCGACCACCAGCAGCGACAACCACAACAATCGCCAGCGACAACTGCCACGACTGCCAGCAACAACCGACGCCGACAACCATGACCGCCAAACAACAGTCATGATGACGGCTAGCGAACATGACAAGCGCCCGCCAACGACAAGCACGAAGACGAGGAACCTGATGAGGACCTCATGTTGTAGTAGTGGGACTGGATGGCAGAGAGGGTTGTGGTAACGGGTGGATGGTGGGCAGCTGCTGACCGCGTATGTGTATAGTATTCTACGTACATACCGCCTAGTACTTATAATGAGATTTTTTCAACCCCTACTACAATGCCCGAAAGCCAGTACTAATATTGCTCTAGAGGAGGTATAGGTTATACCCAGAGATACCTCAAGACCTGTGCAGAGACATCGTCAGGGAGTAGCATCGGGCTCTTATAGACGGACCTGATCTCCACGAGAACCGGTGCCCTACCCGTCAGAGACCATGTGTCTCCGACAGGGTTGACATCTCCGGAGTCTCTGGGATCTCTGTAGGGACGTCAGAGACGTCAGAGAACACCCCGGTGTTTTACTGATGAAACCAACTGCAGAATCTCTTCTCGGTTCTGTGTACAGCCCAACTCCGCTCCGAAGATTCTCTTGCACTACCATTTTAACAAAGTGCGATGTAACTGTAAATGACGAGTGCGATATACTACAGCGATGAACAGTGTGTTACAATAACAAGGAAGGAGAAAATGGCGCACTGAAGCATAATTCTACCAGGTGATAAGAGCTCTAGTACACGAGGAACACATTCTAAACATCTTCCTTCCCCTTATCCTCTTTAAAGTCCCGCATCTCCGCCTCAACAGCCTCTGCAACAGGATTACCAACCACAGTCTGACCCCTGCTCTCCCAAACACCACCAGTAATACCTCCCTTCTCAAAGATATGGTCGATCGCTTCGAGCTCAAGACCGCGCGTTTCCGGAAAGAACTAAGTAAACATTAGTAGTAGAACCTGGCCGGGCACTCGACGCTTTGAACGCACAAAGTAGACAAGCGGCACCCAGCACGCGTTAAACACAGCAAAAATAATAAACACGCGCCAATTGATGTTCTGCCAGATCGCCGGCGGGGTCATCTCGACGACGGCAAAGACGCACATCCAGTTGAAGAAGCTCGAGATGGCAGAGCCGCGCGCGCGGATACGTGTCGTGCTGATTTCCGCGGGGTAGAGCCACGGCTATCCACGTCAGTAATGATGAGGAATGGAAATAGCGCGGACTGACGATTGGCAGATATCCGATACCGAGGAATATCTGGAATATGAACACCATCGCGGTCGCGCTGTATGCTGCGGGCTTGGAGCCAGTGGAGAGGAGGATGGACGCGATGATGAAGCAGATGGAGAGGCCGGTCGCAGATATCATGAGCAGGGGGCGCCGTCCGAAGCGGTCGACGGTCTGCATGGTTAATGTAGGCAAGCGAGCCTGGACAAAAACTTACCCAGAGAGGGATGAATGAAGCAAACATGTATGTTATGGACGTGCAACCTCCGAGGATGAGTGACAGGTTGCGCGAGAGCCCCATTGTGTTTTGATAGACGACTGGTGCAAGGTAGTTTATCATATTCGAACTAAAAGTTGGTTTTTGAATATTCAACCGACAAAGTAAGAAGAAGAGAGACACACACCCAGTAAACTGCTGCATCACGTTGATGCCGATGCACAGACATATCCGTCTGAAATTCCCAATGGGACCGCCCTCAAGGAGCTCGCGATACCTAAACGGACCTATCACGCGTCAGCATCCCGACCTAGAACACCTCGCCACACTCACCCCCAGCGCTCTCCTGCGCCAACGACATCTCAATCTCCTTCCTCACCTTCACAACCCCTCGTCCTCCACACTCTCCTTCCCCTCCAACATCGCAATCACCCGCGCGCCCTCATCCCCGCGCCCATGCGCAATAAGCCACCGCGGCGAATCCGGGAGGACCATGCCCTGCAGGAGCAGGCACGCCGCGAACACCGCCTGGAATCCGATGGCAGGCGCCACTGCGCTGGGCCGTCGACAAAGGACATCGCATAGTCGAGCCAGTACGCGATGACCAGGCCGACGATGGTCACGGTGCTGTTCAGGCAGACGAGCGTGCCCCGGATGTGCCCCCGCAGGTCTCGGATTGGTATACGGGGATGGAGGAGGAGTTGAAGCCGTTGCCCTGCGCGGCTTTCATCAGGGCAAGTAGAATAAAAAGGAAGAAGAAGAAGCAGACGTACGATACTGGTGACGATGCGCCCTACGTACAGTTGAGCCTGCGTGGTGGAGCCTGTGATGCCGGTCAGGAAAACGTCTTGACGAGCTTGCGGGCGTACCGTTCCGATTAACATGGTTATCGCACCGCTCATAATCATCCTCTTTCGCCCGATTTGCTCACCCCAGAAGAAAACAATGAGACTGCATCCGATGTCCTAAATGATTGATTCCAGCCTTGATCTCGGGAATCGGAGAGTAACAGCCACCTAGAACTGAGTCGGCCCAGGGAAGGAGGAATAAGACTGAATGGCAGACCATGGCGCGTCCGTTATATCCTGGGTGCAGGGTTCGTGGATGGAACATAGCTGACTGCAAAGCGTTAATGGTAGGCATGACGTGTGCGCATACCTGCCATGGAGAACTACACTAGTGCTTCGAAACGGGAAG